AAAGAATGATTCTGGATGCTTATGTAGGTAGGAGACCACATACAAGCCACAATCTGCGACCAAGCTTTCTCTTTATACCATTCATACAACTTTTGGTCTTAACATACTGGAATTTTATACAGTTTGAGCATTTGAAGCTCTAAGAGCACCGACAGCAACAGCACAGGCAGCAGCCTTCGCTTTTACATCATTGATGGATTCTTATCTTTCAGTACTGAAACATGTTCTCGGCTGAAGCCATGATCGGCTGGTTCATGCGCATGAGGTTCCACGGATTGATGTAGTCATCAGTGATCATGGGGCCACTACTGATGCTATATTTTGCTTTCAGGCAGTGGAGGATGTCATTGAGAGACTGCAGCCTGTTGCTGAGCTCCACCATCTGCGTCCTCAGGACAGAGTTCTCAGCCTGCACTGCAAAAAACCGCTGCGTGGTGAGGGTGAAGGTTGTCAAGATCTGGCTGTTCTCCTTCCTCAGCTGGCCGATCTGCGCGGTGAGACCATCCAAATGCTTCTGCTTGCGCATCCTGGACCGCCTTGCAGATTCACGGTTCGATATCTTTCTCTTCTGTATCTTAAGGTTCATCACTGCCTGCAGATCCTCTTCGGAAGCTGACTTTTGCAGCAGGCTGGACCCAGATGGTGTTCCAACAGGAGAAGCCATAGAAGCTTTGTCTTTTTGCAGTGAAAATGGTATTCTTTTTCTTACTAGCCTATATAAATTTTAATGGTAGTGCTCAAGCAAAGAGTATATATTGGTTGGAAATATAGCTGAATAGTGTGAATATATAGCAAGACAAATACTATCAAGAAAACTAGGAGATTCTATGTATATATATATGTATATATGTAGATCTCAGAACGAGCTCATGAAAACACATAAAACCAGTAAAGGAAGACAACAGAGAAGGACTGAGCGAGATGGGTCCTGCGCCTGAGAGTGATGTCGATCATAAACCCAGAGAGAAGGATCTCACTTAGGATAAGCGACATCAATTAGAAACGTCAAGAGCAACAGATGCTGCATGTGACAAACACACAGGCGGCTTCAGTATACAAAGATCAAATCTTGGAGTTGATAGAACAGGGAATTCCCCTCAGTTTTCGGCAGCAAGGTGGTATCTTTACACCAAAGATCAAGAAAATCCCTAGTTTTGATAAATTCTCACATATCGCTCTCATTTTAAATAATTTTCGTAAAATACTCCTTGTTTTATGAAATGATTTTGCCTCCCCCTTCGCCCCGCCGATCGCTGTCTTCACCTCCGGCCGCTTGTGCCTCCGTTCCTGACTGCCTTCGCCTCCATCTCTGGTCATCTCCTTGCATGACCTCCCCACTCCTTTGCCCATCGCCCCCATTCACCCCTGGTAGCTTATGCTTGTCATCCCCACTCTGCTATCCTCGTCATCATCATTGTCATCTTGACGGAGGAGGGAGTGGACAAGGGTGTGCAGCCCCTCTGCGTCGATCTCACTTCTCTTCAGGTTTTGGATCTTTCTTCCAATAATTTATTTGGTACCCTACCATCATCTCTAGGAAATTTTAATGCCATGGTTGAGGTACAAAATGATAAGAGGTCATTGCTTGAAGAATACTATTCTTATATCGAGAGGATTTTATGCACATCAAATGGATTAATGGTTGGCTTTTGGCTGTTTATTGGCACACTCATCATGAAGCAGGCCATCAAATTCGATCGATCGACAATGCCAACGACCGGATCTATTTTCAGTTTGCAGTAAAACTTGCGAAGCTCAAATCCAAATGGCAAACTATGACATGAACCGCCGGTAAGTTCTCGAGTGTGTCACTTCTTCTATCACATCTTAATGTTATGTTGGTCCTTCGAAGTTAGCCGTATCAAAAATCTTGTTTTTCCATGGAATGATGTTATCTTATTATGCTGTCATAATAAGCATCATAGATTGTCCATATACGTTATATGTATTTGTTTTAGTATCAGAACATCTCCATCTATCATCATTTTGCTAAATGATTAATCGCAAGTGCACAATTCTGTCTTCCTTATCTTGGTCTCTTTTTTGCCAAAATCAATTATATTTCTTGATATTATATACAAATTTCATTGTTTCATACAGATTGTTTTATCCTGTTATTGTTTTTACAATAAAAGAAAAATCAACAATGTTATTATGCTCTAGTGATACAATTAAACAATAAAATCGAGGTTTTGTCGTCAGTCACCATTGAATTTCTACAAAAATGTAATAAAATGTTACTTGCAAGAACAAACTGTTACTAGTCTTACTATTTCTATAGATCATTTATATAAAAAGAATGTTATATTCACAGAATGGTCTGTCACACTCTGTTTGCTGGTGACATGTTGACATCTAAATGTGGTCAATTAGTGTCCGACCAAATCATCTCGAATTGAGGACATCAAAAATTAAATACCAGTAACCTAAGACTTAATTGGATAGAAAATGTCTATGAATTACTTGTCGTCATTACCAAGTTGACTCAAATTATATGAAGAACAACATTATAAAAAAAAATCCAAGTATGAAAAAAAATCCTTGGCAGTTATGATTTGATTATTCTATACAAGCCTTTTATAACTCGGGATCCTAAATGGGGTGAGTATTATTGGGTTTTATCTATAATATCATATTTTAAGATATATGTAAAAAGATGTTTAAGAGTTTTTTAAATCAGGTTTGAGTTGAATGACATTTATTTTATTTTATTTAATTAATTTAATCAATTTATTTCCTTGAAAACTATTCATACAAAATAACTATCTACTAAATAGAGATAGTTACATATTTTTAGACTCTAGGTAGGTATTATCCTTGAAAACTCATTGACTAATAAGCTCTTATTATAGGTTACTGCTCCTCAAGTTGCATACCTCTTGTTGAATATATTCTTGACTTAGTTTTCTAACTTGTTGACTGATAAGTTTTAAGAGTATTGCCCCTCAAGTTACATGCTATCTAACATATGCATTTATGAGATATTATCGAGTATATCTCTGATTTAATTTTCATGAAGATCATTTGATTGAGTCATTTTATCACGATACTAAACTTGTTAAAGAGGTCATCTCGAAAGAATTTAGTTCTGTAACATTGATAAATGTAATAGATAATGAAAATCGATTCGACACTTGAGAAGTGGTATGTAAAAGTTCTAATCAAGGTTCGCAATACCGTACCGTACCGGTATTTCGACCTGGGCTCGGTACCAATACGGTACGGTATACCGAGCGGTACACTTGGGTGTATCGAGTACTGTAGCACTGCTACAGTGCTACAGTACACTCGGACCGGTAACAGTCGGTCCGCGTACCGACAACCTGTCGGACCGATACGTACCGCCTGTACCAGGCGGTACGGCTCGGTACGACGGACCCTGGTTCTAACTACTCTTCTAGTGGTAGGAAAATGTATATCCATACTATATTATTAGTGAATAAATTAGAACTTCATTTATATTAATCGAGCAAATATGACTTAGATTGACTAGTCAACAAAATCTCCGACGTTAATGAATCAGTCAACTCTTACATTTTTATCATGAGTTAATTTTTTTATTTCACGATTAAACTCTTCACATTTAAATCTCCAACATTCCTTAAACACCCAAGTCTCACATATTAATCAATCAACCCTCACATCTTATATTTTGACTATGGTATGCATCGAAGTCTCCAAGAGATAGATATGTGTCTCAATCACGTTGACTTGCGCCCGAGCAACATGATAAGATGCAAGCTTTTGACTTGCGTCTCAACCACATGATAGAAGCTTTAATGAGAACATGTGACTTCCCTCCATCTCACACCACATGGAAGATAGATGGAAATTTGGGTGTTGAAAGGCATCCATCCATATCAAACCATTCATTACGTCATGAGAAATATCCATGTTTTCCAACGCCTAAAGTCTCCTTGACTTGGACGTCAAGGAAACACAAACATTTACATCCTTTTATGTTTTGTATAAAATTATTTTTTGACAATTTATTCAGAAGAGTCGATCATAATTAGCGTTTATCTGAGAGAATTCTTTTTCTCCGAATTTACTAAAGAACTCTTTATTTTAGAGATTTATACATAGTTTTACGAAATGAATCTATCCGAGTTCGATTTAAAAAACT